TAGCTTGTTTAGCTGTTAGTAGCTAATTGATCTCCAAAAGAGATCTCATCCATCTATATCTGGGAAGGCGTCAGGGTATCATCTTCAACAACATGGCTGTGTAGCATGTTCCAGACCTCTCAAAGTAGTGAGTTAAGACGTGCCTTCAGTTTTAATTTTTTAGTATTGTTTATAATATATAATTACAAACATTAAATATCAGCTTTTTACTTCCTGTGGGTGTGAGATACTGAATTCACACACTGCAATTAAATAAAGTAATGCATTATTCCTGCCAATCTAAAACCTAAAATTTTACTTTTGTCTTGCTGTGCAATTCTCAGCTGTGAAACAGAAATTGATTTTGGTTGTGCTTCGTCTCTCCTAAATATGTGTTGCTGATCAATTTTGCATCAGAAAATCTGCAAGGAATTGCTGTATAATCCCAGTCAAGCTGGCAGGACACAAATACAACATCTTTGCTTAGAGGCAAGACAGAATGATACTCTCATGAACTGAAAAAGGAGGAACCGAAATGCCTCTTATAAAACACCATGTGTACAAGCTCCACCCTCTCAGTGGTTGATAGCAGCACTTTTGTTACATAGGACTTCACAATGCTATATCCAGGAATCAGGAAATAACCACCCATGACTGAGTTTCACAGAAGCCACAGAACCGTATTAGTGTTATGTACACATGGGCTGCATTCAGCTATTTCAAAGGAGAGTCGGTTGTGAGCAGGCAATTATTGTGTGATTTGGTGTACACTTGTATTATAGCACTGGTCCTGTAGAGCCCCAGAACAGTCAGTCCAAGTGGTCCCAAAACATGGTCCTGGAGAGTCTCAGTGCATCTCGCCCTGAGGTCCCCAAACCAGGTCCCGGAGAGCTCCAATATAGTTAGTCATATAGGTCACCTGCTTCTAGAAATTGGTAACACCTGCATGACATTGTTCACTTAGGCAACCAGCCTGTTTGCATTAAGAGCTCACTCATTCAAGGGATAAAGGACACTGTTTGGCTGCACATGATCTTCCTACATCCACATCACCTGCTTAATTGCCCACAGTGGCATTTAAAATCTGAAAAAGAAAAAAATGGCTGTTTGAGGTCTCGTCTCATGCTGGGTTTTACTGGAGTATCGAACGATAGGGATAGAATCAGAGTCAGTGAGAAGTCAGCGCCAATACAGGAATACAATCACGTACAGTATGTAGGAAGAGAATGAACAGGCACACATTTGTGTAGCACATGAGGAATATAAGTGCAACATATTCCTAAATTATACTAATTATAACTTGCATTTAAATAGAGATACTCATTGCAAAGCATTCTAACAGTCTTCACATATAGATGCCCATCTTCTCTGCCACGAAAGTGCAGCCCCGAACTGGGAAGTGTGCAGCAGAAGAGTGAGAAACATCTTCATCCAACATGAATTAAAGGTGACTGTAGCCCAGAGTGAGATTTATCCTGATAGGACTGACTGTGATTTCTGGGTGATGTACTGTAATCTGGCCCTGCAAGAGGCACCCAAACCCTGCGTTTTCAGATACTGATTCTGTTTCTGTCTTCTTCGGTTTTAGGGTTGGTGGTGCTGTTTTGTATATCTTAGATCTCCATAAGAAAGAGAAGATATCCATAGGAGAGAGGATCATTTTAAATAGGAAAGCTGTCTCAGTAAATGCACATCTTTAAAAGCCAAATGCAAATGCAATTTGAAACATTATAACCTGACTGCCCTGTGATGGACTAACGTCCCATCCAGAGTGTATATTGCATTGTGCCCGTTGGTTGCTGGGATGGGCTCTGGCTCCCCTGTGACCCTGGATTGGAAGAAGTAGTTAGAAAACGGATGGGTAGACTAATTGACGTTGTCTGGCCACTCAGAGCCCAAACGGGCCCAAGTTAAATTTTATACTCTGCCAGACGCCCTGTCTAATCACTGCCCCCTGTGACTGAGCAGATGATCACTGAATGTGAATCCTCCTCAGCAGGTTTGTCCTAATTAATGTGGTGATCATCCTCACGAGGATGAAGAACATTCAGGGAGAAGAAGGGGTCGGGTTTCTCGGTGAAGGTGTTTGTGAAAGTGTCGATGCGAGTTCTGGTCTCCACGTACAAAGGAGACCTGGCCTTCCTTGTAACCCACCTACACCCCCACCTTCTGTGGCTCAGAAATAATGGCAGTCGGGGTCTGGGTGTAATTGTAGGCCATGTGCCCACTAACGCTGCTCATCCCTACAGCCCAGATTCTAATGCTACAAGTCTTCCTTCTTCTCATTCGGCTGAGTGGAACCACACACAGATCAAGACATGCAGCTGAGAACCTTAACCTCCCAGTAGTGCCTCCCAGAGCTGAGTCCACCCCTGTCCCAAATGCAGCAACGTTTGACACATCCTGCAGAACTGTCGAGGGGGTCGTTCTCATCTTCTTCACTTTCAGCAGTGTGTTGCAGTTTTTTTCCCATCTTTAGACAGGATGAGTTGGCAGTGAGCTGTACTGGGGGTCCATAGTCACCACATCTGTGTATTACAAAACATGTAAGAAAAAAAACATGACATAGTTGTCATCGTCATCATCATCATCATCATCATCATCATCCCTGATCTCATTTTACTTTCCTTGACATAATTCACTAGGAACAACAACACCCAAGATCAAAGCATGATGAACTGTTCTGGAGCGGATATCGGCTTAACCCGCTTGGCTAAGGGCCGACCTCCTGGCCAGAGGACGAGGAGGCCAGGACCCCCACGCAGGGTGACCAAGGGGCAGCTGCAGAGGTGGAGGTGGGAGGTGGGTGGCAAAAGTCTCACGCGAGGGAGAGTAGGAAATCCCGTTGGTATTTATAGCTTGTGGTGGAGGAAGAATGACGGGGGCGATTGCTACACTAATTACCGAAAGCTGAGTATGATTGAGCGCGGTTGTTGTCATCCCTCCCAAACTTTCGCCATGAGCTCCATTTAAAAAACAAGCATTTCCTAACCCGCTCAGACCTGTCTGTCCCATTTCACTTAGTGCTGCTAACCCTGCAAGGTTCTACCTAAAGATCCCTAAATATAGCCAAACAGCCAAATTTATTCTTCAGCCTTCTTTTATGAAGAATAAATTTGTGCTATTTTCAGCTCTGAAATTAAACAAATATTAACGTTATTGGAATACAAGTTGTAGCAAATGATTTTTGGTGTTATACGCTATCTTTCAGAAAGAGCATTTTCCCACTGCACTATAATAAATGGAAATCCATTGACTTTTGCACTCCTGGCATTTCAGATTCCCAGAAAAGGTAAGCAAAAGTGAACCTGCAGTACCAACCAGTCAAAGCAAGCTTCTTCACTTCCTCCTGAAGCCTTTCCCCCAGTTGAGAGACAGCTCTCCTCACAGTCCCCAGACTGAGGGCAGGGTGAACAGAGATGTCAGACCAGTCCTTGGTGTGTGGAAGGGAACACAGGGAGGGGAAACTCTGCAGTAGCAGAGAAGGAAAATTCACAACACTGACGTGCTTCACAGTCTTCATAATTAGTGGAACAACCGGCAGTCTGCCTCATCTTTTGGGTTTGTCTTAAGATGGCCAGCTCTCTAGTTTGCCAAACCAAGATGGAAAATCAAACTATTAAGAGAGTGACTGCCAACCTGTAGGAAGTGGATGGGGTCTTCAGTGTGAGAGAGCTGCTCCAGTTCAGTGCTTCTCCTCTGCAGCTCAGCGATCTCCTGCTCCAGCTCTGTAATGAGCCCCTCAGCCCTCTTCTCTTCTGCTCTCTGCTTCTCCTCAATCAGCTCAGTGATCTCAGCCTGGCTGCTCTCCACGGAGCGCAGCAGAGAGGCAAAGACCTGAACACTGTCCTCGATCTCTCTCTCTGTGTGGCTCTATGGGGACAACAGGTAGGCCACGCACGCCTGAATAATCACTACGAAAATCTCAGAGTTGGGTTGCAGGCCACGTCTAACATGGGGAGAGTGCAGTTTTCTCACGAGCGAACACATTACTGCCGAGGATCAGGTTTAATTGGGCTGCCTTATAGCTCGGTCTTCCCCCTGCCAAGCCTGGCACCCTGTTTACTTTATTCTGGATTCCCTAATAATCCCCGAAATGCCACAATAAAGGTGCTCTGCCATTGAGTTACTCAGCTATGCTCAGTTTTGACTTTAAGTTGCACGTGCTGTAGGAGAACGTGAATAACAAGAAACCCCAGACCCTGTGACCAGAAACTTGAGATCTTGAAACACAAAACCTTACTGGATCCTGTCCTCCCAGCATCATTCTTATGGTTTCTTCCCTGCCTGTTCCTGCCCTGTTTTCCAAATCCTGTCTGTCTTCTCCTGATCAGGTATTCTTTGTTTCTGTTTTTGAAAGTGTTTATACTTTCAATTCAATTTTCCACTCAATATTTTTGTCCTCTCTGAAGCTGGTTGAGGTTAATAGTAATAAAATATTTCTGTACATGCAACTGCTGTATACTGTATCATTACATATCTAGCTGACTAGTGCTCCAGACTAGTCACTATCACATGAAGAAGGCAGTGGCCCCCAATACTGAGCCCTGCAGTACTCCCAGATCAGTGAGATTTTGATAAGGACTCACTTTGCTGAGCTTCACCAGCTGATTGAGCTCCTCCACCTTCTGCAGTCTCTCTTTAGTCATCTGTTCAACTTTGTTTGCAGTTTTCTCCAGCTGAACCTGTGGACAAACAGAGAAGTCAGGAATTCCTAGCTACTCCAAGAAGGAAATTCAAGTAATGCTCATGATTATTATTATTACAGTGCATGAGAGATGGACCTCCTCTTTTATTCTGGCAACATTTGTGATTCTAATTATAGTTATAGTTGGGCGGCAGTGGACATTGCTTTGTAGCACTGGGGCCCTGGGTTCAAATCCTGGGGTGCTAACCTGCATGGGGTTTGTGTGTTCTCCCTGGGTTTGCGTGTGTGTCCTCCAGGTGCCCTGGTTTCCTCCCACAGTCCAAAGGCACGCTGGTAGGTTAATTGGCTTCTGGCAAAACTAGCCCTGGTGTGAGCCTGTGTGTGTTTGAGTGTGTGACCTCTGAAATGGACTAGCGTCCCGTCCAGAGTGTATCCTGCTTGCTTGGATAGACGTCGGCTCCTCCATGACTCTGTGTTGGATAAACAGGTCAGAAATGCATGGATGGATATAATTCTAGATGTAGACATTGCTTTTGTGTACAAAAGAACTAAATTCCACTCATGTTGGTATAATATTGTTTTATAGTGGCATCTAGTGCTTTCAGGAGATGCTCCAAAATTTCACCACTACGTACTTTGTCTCACATTAATGAGTATTAATATTGTACTACCTTCTTCCTTCTCCACTCCTTGTGTGCAGAGAGAGTACTGTGTGTCCTGTGATCTGTCTCGGTGCACTTCACGCAGATACAGGTCTGGTCACTCCTGCAGAACCTCTCCAGCGGTCGCCCGTGCTGTTTGCACATCTTGTCTTCCAGGTTTTTGGAGACGGCAATCAGCGTGTGCTTCTTGAAAGCAGCCTCTTGATAGTGGGGAAGAGTGTGCGTTTCGCAGTAGGAGGCCAGACACACCAGGCAGGATTTCACAGCCTGGAGCTTCCTGCCAGTGCAAGAGTCACAGGGCACTTCTCCTGGCTTGGCAAAGCGCTCTTCATCCCCACTCACCTCCTTCGTTTCATCACAGCGACCAGCACATTCTCCCAGGCTTCTGTTAGCAAGGAGATCGGGTTTCGTGGGATAGGATGTTTTACAAAGTGGGCACAGACACTCATCGGTGTGATTCCAGTACTCTCCAATACACGCCGTGCAGAAGCTGTGCCCACAGGGGATGGTGACTGGGGTGGTAAAGTTGGTATCCAGACATATTGGGCAACGGATCTGCTGTTCGGACATGAGTCTGATGGGTGCCAATTGTCCTGCGAGCATGGAAGTAAATATTTGTGAGCGACATGTGGAAGAGAAATTAATCGCAGAACCAGATAAGTTGGCATGGAGCGACCGGCATGGGGTTCAATGAGGCAAATCCCAAAGCTAGTCACGCATATCTAAGACACGATTAAATAAGATCCCCAAAAAAACAGACGTGTGGTAGCTTTTCACAGCAGCAAATCATTCACTGCAAAACCCTGCCCTCTTCTTCCTCTCCAGATTAACCCCACCATCTCCTGGTAAAACCTATATTCCAGCATTCCTGTATCGCTGATCAAATTTAAGACATCCTCATTGTCTCTCTCATGGATTAAATTTTTTTATGCTCAGAACCAAACGAAACCTAGAGATACAGGGGAATAGGATCGTATATTTAAACTATTCACATGTTTGAAATCCAGATTGGAGACCTGGACCGACCCTGTGTTCAGTCACAGTGGGAGAGTGAAGTGCTTCTGTTACTGTTCAGTTCATTCAGAAGGAAGATGGCTGTGGAATGGGGCACATGCATTTTCTGAACATGTCCCATTATACAGTTTGCAAGATTCCTAAACAGCTGCTGAATCAACCTTTTACAAATAAAACAAACCACATTTTCCCCTGGATGCATTGGAGACCGGTCCGATATTAACAAACAACTCAAACAAATCAATTTAGATTAAAAGGTTGACGTTCTGTTTTGTGTTTTTCAGGGTTTTTTAAAACCCGTGTCTTGCAAAAAAGAGGGTTGTGCTTAACTGTGGGTTGTGGTGTATAACCTAACGCGGACAAATGAAACGATCTTTCCAGGTAGGAGTTAAGCCACTCCTGCCTTGGCCATCTGCCAAAGCCAAACGCAGTGACGTTGAGCTGACTCACGTGTGAATTTCTTGGCAACAATCATCACCACCATCAGCAGAGAGTGTGTGCGCACAGCCCCCCAGGCAGTTACACCTCTCTCTCACACACAGAGGTGCACACCCACCTACCAGCAGTAACGAACTTGGAATAAAGATGTTGCAATCTAAGAAAATGCACCAGCAGTGACTCGGAAAACAACACCGGATGAGATTTCGGCAGTGAAAGAATTGAATTCAAATCAAAATTAAAATGGTGTATATACCAACATACATATGTGTGCATGCTGATATGTAAGTTTGAATGTAGATACCACACAAATTGAGGAGATTACCTCACACTTATGTGACACTGTGGTTTGTCAACATGCAATACTGTACGTCCCTTCTCCTTCATTCAATTACAATTGCCTGTCATCTTAGTGCGACGAGTACCTTCAGATTATCCGTCTGAAATCGCACTTGAATTTTAATTCTTCGCAGTTAATCCTACTTCCTATCCCCTGTGTCAGAATTAATTGTTTCTTTACAATCCTTGACAACGTACTGTTTTAGTAATGTGACAAGTAGCCTCAGATTATCTGTCTGAAATCCTATTTTAATTCTTACTTGAAACAAAGGTAAAGAAGAGTAACTAGCCCTAGTTCCTAGCCTCCATGTATAAACGCTGCTGCCTATATCAAGTCAGGCTGTGTTTGTGTTCAGCACTAGAGCTATGGAGAGAGAGATTTCCTTTAACTAACCCTAACACCTTTATTCAAACTGTCTGCTCGCTCCATCAAGGTTCAGCCTAACCACGGCGCAGGGCTCACTTGCATAGTGAGGCCGGGAGTCTATACAGACCATTGTTTTTGGATTCCCAGTGAAAAGTAAAGAAATTCCCACAGCAGGACTCACCAGTTGTAGTTCCCAGCTCTCAGGCTGAACTGACAGTTCAGTCAAGTGACATGCCTGAGCTCCGCCCCCTTTATGAAATTGGAGCCATGAGGTCACGCCCACCACTGGAACAGGGACAAGATGAACAGGTTTCAAACCTTATATAGCTGCTGACGCCAGCATTGAGTGCCTGTTTCTGAAACAAGAGCATTCCCTAACAGCACCCAACCTCAACTTGACCTATTGGTCAATCTCCTTGTTTGTTACTTTTCTCATGATCATACCCTGCCATAAAGATTACAAGTCCAAACGTAAACGGCCTCTTCAAAGCTTTTACAATCTTTGCTTATCTTTACTTCAGAGGGTGTAGCAGTCACTGTGCCTCAGGTATCCCCTTTCTAGCCTGATCTTGTCAGATTTCAGAAGCTAAACAATACTGGGCTGGACAGCAGTAGGATTTCCTGGGATACCCAGATTGCTGCTGTGGACTGGTAGGTGGTGCTCTTTCCTCTGGATCAGATTTCCCAAACTGATCCCCCAATAAGGCAAGAGAGAACATCGGGCTGCAGGAGTCGCTGATTTCTTGGATGAAACGTTCTGGTTCAATTCCACTCTGGATCTGGCGCTTTTCCTGCTAATCTAAAGCTCTCCCTCTTTAAAGCGGAGACGCAGCTTCTCACGCCTGCATCTGACCTGCTGTGTGATGATGCTGCTGGCTCAGACTGCGCTACGTCATCCTATTGGGTGTAGCACTGACTGGGACTCCCCCCACCTACCATGTCATGGGTTTTTCCGCTGTTTGTTCCTTTGGGATGAGAAGTTTTATCTGAATGGTTTAACCATTATCGATCGTCATAGCGGTCTGTTGGCTCGAGAATAGCATTGGGTCTGTGAGAGTGGTTAGACAGCTGTGTTCCCTCTCTGTCAGCCGTGCTCAGTGTCCTGGCTGTTTTATCCCTCAGGCACTGGATGTAATCTTTTATCTTCTCTCTAGAAACTTTCGGTAAATTTACAAAATGAACAGCCTCCAGCATGCACTGGAATTTCCCTTCTACACTGTACTGAGGAGATTTGGCAAAGGTTGTATGAAGTAACAATCACCCCCACACATCTCCTAGTAATAAGCCAGCAAACATCTGGTCATGAGTGAAGAACAAGACAGCTTTCACTGTTATACAGGTCATTGTCATGTGATAACCAGTCCTAATCAAATCAAATTTGGAAGGAGATCTGGACGTAACAATGGAGAATAGTGACGTGGCTTCTTTGCGTATGTTAATCCTACTATATCTATTAATTCTTGCAGAGGCACTGCAAATTACACTTTCAAGGCTACAGATGTTAGAAGTAGTGTTCTGCTTATTATGTTCATTATGTGTTCATTTTCAACAACCAACATACCTCCTTTTGAAAAGACAATAACCCAGGATCCCAGTTTATCAAAATGTCCTCAATGGGCCTCTTGCATGCATGGTGTTTTCTCGAATTGCTATTTCAACATACTTACTTTAGATATAGCGATCATGCTTATTCTCCAGTCTGAAGAAAATAACATCGCTGGGATTTTCATTCAACAGCTAGCGAAGGAAGGATTGCCCCCATATATGCAAAGCAGTTTCTAAACTGCAGGTCTGAAATGTGCCTTCAGCGAGGGCTGAGGACTGGTGCTCCTTGTCAGATCATCACTCAGTCAGGCGGACTTGTGAGGTGAGGGTCAGCCCGCCTTGTCTCGGCGTTAGCAGACTTGTGGGTTTTATTAGGGGGGAACAGAATTGGCTGATGGTAAGTTTTAAGAAATGCCATGTGACAAAAGAGTGAAAACAAAAGTAACAATTATAATATACATGCATGTACACACCTATTACATCAAAATGATTGACTGCTTCCCCAGAACATTAGAAGAAGTCTAGCATAAATTTAAGTGATTTCCAATTTTATAAATCTATGGTTGCAGCAGCATAACGCAGTTGTAGAAGAGCAATTAAAGAGAGATGAAGATACAGAAGATGCAGAAACAATGAAACCACCTGCTGTTTTTCTCACTCCATTAATAATTGCTGTAATTGCTTACACTTATATAGCACTTACCGGACACACCACTCAAAGCACTTTACAGGTCATGGCGAATCCCACTACCACCACCAGTGTGCAGCCCCACCTGGATGATGTTCCAGTACTCTCCCCACACACCAGCTATCAAACAATAATAAAATACATTTTTTTTAAATATCAGTAGGGAGGTGAGCAGAGTGATGAAGCCAGTTCAGAGATGGATATTATTAGGAGGCCATGATTGGTTAAGACCAGGGGGGAAATTTGTCTAGGACACCAGGGTGACACCCCTACTCTTTTCAAGAAACACCCTGGGATTTAAGACCACAGAGAGTCAGGACCTCGGTTTTATGCCTCATTCCAAGGACAGCTCCTTTTTACAGTATAGTATCCCAGTCACTATACTGGGGCATTAGGACCCATACAGACCACAGGGTGAGTGCCTCCTACCTGCCCCTCTAAGACCGCTTCCAGAAGTAGCCTTAGCTTTCCAAGGAGTCTCCCATCCAGGTACTGACCAGACTCACACCTGCTGAGCTTCAGTGAGGCTGCCAGCTGTGAGTTGCAGGGGGATATGGCTGCTGGTGTTGATTGCAAGACTAAAAAGGAGCAGTTCAAATCCAAAATTCAACCACAAATACTACACAATTGGTGGGAGTCATTTTCTTTTATTATTGTTTGGAAGGGAACCATACAGAAGAGTTAACAGGCTTCATGTCAGGGGACCTTCAATCCTGGCACTGGAGGGGGCGCTATGCCTGATAGGGCTTACTTAAGCCTTGAGATGCTTTAAAACTGGTCTAAATCCACAATGACTGTGCTGATTCATTAGAAGGTTATTAGAAGCCCAGCTGAACTGAAAGCCTGTAGACACGGTGGTCCTCCAGAGCTGGGATATGAAACAATCCCTGATTCCAAAGATCAGATTTACACAATCTAATTCTTGTAGAATGATCAAATACAAAAAAAAACATCTTTCCATTTGCTGGCAGTCAAAATACGCGAGACAATTTGGCAGAAATCAAAACCAATACTATATTTGTGTAAATGTATCATGTTTTTTTTGTTTGCTGTGCACCCACTGTGCCATGTACCGCATTCAAGAACAGAAAACCAGAGAAACAGATTTTGTGTTCAAATTGCTGAGATAATCTATTATAGTGGTGTATCTGGCTGGAGATCTGGAAGTACTGATTGCAGGCAAAACCGCTGTAGTCCTCTATGACCTGAGGTCCACATAATTGGAAGGGAACAGGCCATGAGCTCCTTTACACTGGCCCCACCACCAGCCCTCGCTGACCTTGACGATGTCGGTGACGATGTCATTGACGTCAATGGAGATCTCGTCCCCGCTTTCAGCTTCGTAGTCGTACAAAGCCACAGCGGTGATCCCGCCGTCGTCGGACGCAAGCCGAACCTCATCCCCGCTGTACGAGCAGTCGTCGTACAAGCTCTCCTCCACGCCTGAGCCCCCGGGCTCTGAGCCGCTCCCTCCACTCGCGCTCCTCCTCCTCGCCTCGCCTCGCTCCGCGGGGCCGCCGGACGGCACTCGGTAGGTCTTCCTCTCCTTCGGTTTCATCATGCTTAACAGTTTGAACCGGGACCTCTTGCTCTTGGCGTCTCCCTGGTGCCGGGCGGCGTCCGGAGGCCTTGTTATCCATCTGGCTGGGGTGGGGGGGGGTCGGAACGGAAACAAGAAGACGAGATCATAAATAATGCTTCTGCTACCCTGGAGGGGCCTTCCTGTGTGAACTTCTCCAGGGCAGCAAACACCCAGCTGTCGGCCGTCAGAGAATTTCTGTTGGATCTCTTGTTGCACGCTGACATGTGCATGTTTTTATTAATAATAATTATTATAATAATGCGGACTGTCTTCCACGACCATTCTGCTATATGTGGAGAGGAGAACAGAGTGATGAAGCCAGTTCAGAGATGGGGATTATTAAGAGGCCATGATGGGTAAAGACCAGGGGGAAATTTGGCCACGACACCAGGGTAACACCCCTACTCTTTTCAAGAAACACCCTGGGATTTTTAACAACCACAGACAGTCAGGACCTCAACACGTTTTCTTACAGTATAGTGTCCCTGTCACTATACTGGGGCATAAGGATGCACATGGACCACAGGGTGAGCGCCTTCTGCTGGACCCACTAACACCTCTTCCAGCTGTAATCTTAGTTTTCCCAGGAGGTCTCCCATCCAGGTACTGACCAGGTTCACACCTGCTGAGCTTCAGTGGGGCTGCCAGCTGTAAGCTGCAGGAAGTGACATCACATGAGACCATTCATAAAGTTAAAAAATGCACCTTCCTACAGTACCTTCCCAGTGCCCAAGCTATACAGCTCTAGTGAATGTGATACAGTACTTTAATAAGAGTAGAGCAGGTAATAACTTCAACTTCAGACTATAGTGCATTTTATTCTCATATCATTGTGCTCCCAACCTAATTCTAGCAGTACCTGCGAAGCTTTGTACTGATGATATGAAACATAAGAACACGACAAAATTACAGATGAGGGGGCTCAATCAGCTCCTCTGTCTTGTTCAGTTACTAGTAGGGGTGGGTTCAAAAATCTCACTTTAGGAGTATCAACTTCAACAGTGTGGATGGATTGGATCATTTTGCTCCCAACTCCCACAACACTTTGTCCCCAGATGTGCTTCCTGTCCCCAGTCTCTTGTCCATAGTTCCCACCTGTGGCCTCGGGTTTGTTGTTCACTAGGATGGAGCAATACTAAACTGTGCTCCCCTCGTGACATATGTGCACTTCATTGCTGTTGTGTTGTCTTCCGTTGAAGATTCTTCATCTTTTCTAATCACGCTCGATCCTGGAATGCCAACCTGTTTCAGAAAGCTTGTCCAGTTCTTTCTGGGACCTCTCCACCAGCTGAGACACCGATGTCCTCACAGCCCCCAAGGAGAGGTGGGTGGCGGGTGTGACGCAGGACCAGTTCTTGGTTTTCGGCAAGGTGGACAGAGAGGGGAAGCTCTACGTCACGACAGACAAGAGATTCATCAGCAAACGGGAGACAAGCAGTAGCCTAGCGGACTGCCACCGAAACTCTTACCCCTTAATCTTAGATGTGTCAAGCTCTGACACCATGCGGGTCAGAGGAGAAGAGATGTGGAATTTTCTACTAATAACTTTGCCTGGCCACTTGAGTGAATATTTGAGACAGATACAAATTATCCACAGCTATGGCACGTTCACGTTCACTTCTGTTATCTGCAGCACTGGCTGTGAAAGCACACATGGGAAATAATCAAAATGACTTAAGCTATTTTCGTAGAACAGCCATGACACACTTAACATATACAGTAGGATATGGTGGTACTTAAACTAAAGACTACCTTTGCTAGCTCTACAGAAGAAACCCCAGTGCTTGCTGACCTGTAGAAAGTAGAAAGGGTCCTCAGTGTGGGACAGCTGCATCATCTCAGTGTTTCTCCTCTGCAGCTCAGCGATCTCCTGCTCCAGCTCTGTAATGAGCCCCTCAGCCCTCTTCTCTTCTGCTCTCTGCTTCTCCTCAATCAGTGCAATGAGCTCAGTCTGGCTCCTCTCAATCGAGCTGACCAGGGCAGCGAAGGCCTGGACACTCTCCTGAATCTCTCTCTGCGTGCTGCTCTGATTGAGAGAGAGACA